AGTGGGGGTCCGGGGTGGGGACAGGATGTGGGGCAAGGTTGCAGGTGAGCTCAGAACCCCCAGCCTTTCACAGCAGGCTCCTTTCCCGCTTTCTGCCACACTGGTTTGGGATGGTCCCTGCTGTGTCCTGTCCCCCCTTGCGCCTGCAAGCTTGTTGAGGGGATGGTTTAGTGGCTTATGGCCACTATGTCCTGGCTCAACATGTGCCTGGGTAAGATGGGGTACCCATCCACATCCCTGGCCAGCAGAGCCCAGGGGAGCAGGACAGGTGCCAGGTGTATGACTTGGTTTCCCCTTTGTGCTCTGCACACAGCCTCACGAGGTGTCTTTTTCCTCTTCGCAGAAAAAGTGGTCACAGAGGTGGGGCTCCTCCAGTTGCTCGGGGAGCCCCCGCCCCAGCAGGTCACCCAGATCGATGACCCCGACGTGGGACCAGCCTACATCTTTGGCCCAGATGCCAACAGCGGCCAGGTGGCCCGGTACCACTTCCCCATCCCGTTCTTCCGTGACTTCTCGCTGTTTTTCCACGTGCGGCCGGCCACTGAGGGTGCGGGGGTGCTGTTTGCCATCACAGATGCGGCCCAAGCAGTTGTCTCAGTGGGTGTGAAGCTGTCGGGCGTGAGTGGTGGCCAACAGCACATCCAGCTCCTGTATACCGAGCCTGGTGCTGCCCAGACACATGTGGCCGCCAGCTTTCCCCTGCCTGCCTTCACTGGCCAGTGGACACGCTTTGCACTTAGTGTGGATGGTGACACCGTGACACTCTTTGTGGACTGTGAGAAGGTCCAGTGGGTGTCCTTTGCACGATCTCCACGAGGCCTGGAGCTGGAGCCCGGTTCAGGCCTCTTTGTGGCTCAGGCCGGAGGAGCAGACCCCGACAAGTTCCAGGTAACTCTATGGCTGCTGCTTGAGGACTGACCAGCTCTGGGGGTGTGGGGTGTGGAGGTGTGGAGGTGTGGGCCTGGCCATCTGGACAAGGGGTAATGGTCCCCACCTGACTCAGGCTCCAGGGGTCCTTGACCTGCCTGGACCCAGCATGTCTTTTATTCCCTGGTGCTCTGGCCCGTTGGCCACCCCAGCAAGGGTCTCCCTGGGCTGTAGTGGTTTCTCTGAGGCCCCCTTGGGGCCACCTTTCTAACAGGATGCCAGTCCATGCCACCACCTCTGCACAGTGCAAGCAATGGGCCCCTTGATCCATAATTAGGAGTTTTAAGAGGGCAACAGCAGAGGGTAGAAGCGAGCATCGGCCCTTCTGGGGATAGGCTGCACCCCATGAAAGCTGCACATCCTCTGGGCTGGGCCAGGGCTTCCTGCCTCGTGCCAGCATCATTTATGCTATTGTTATTATTTTACCGAACTGCTCAGTGGCCTACCCAGAGCAGTGTGGGCGGGACTTCTCCAGCAGTGTTGGGCAGGTAACTGTCTCACTGTGTCCCCAGGGAAGCCCCTACCCCCTGGGCCTTCATTTGGGGAGAGGCCAACCCCACAGCCTGGGTGGGATCTTTCTCCTGGGCACTCAGCCCCTACATTTGGAACCTCTAGCTGGGGCCCCCGCCTCCGGGAAACACCATGTGGGCACCCTTGACCTGAGCTGACTCAATTCTAACATTACAGCCAGTCTGCTGCTGGCACGCCCCAGACAGGGGTCCCTGTGTATGCTAACGGGGGATGTGTCTTCAAAGGACAGAAGGTTAATTATTACCCAGACAAAAGCTGCTTGATTAAAGTTGTTCTAAGTCCTGGAGATTCGGGTTCTGAAAGATGGCCTTTCACCTTTGGCAGAAATTTCACCCATGGGGTCTGGGAGCCAGCAGGACTTTGATAGCAAACTGGGCCTCTTTGTGTTTTCATTTTGATTCTCAAACATGATTAACTAGAAGGAGTCACAGAGAGTCGACTCATCCAGGGAGGGGCTGTGTTTACTGGCAGTTTGTTGTGTGACTTCCCTGGCATTTCTAGATGGAAAAGTATGCCATTGTTCCATATCCTTAACAGTTTCACAGAAAACTGACCATGTGCTGATGGAGACAAGGGCTGCCCAGAGCTCAGGGTGCTAAGGGAGGAGCCAGTGGTCACACCATCGTGCAGGGAAGGCACCAGAGGCTTCCTCCCTAGACCTCACCAGGGCAACAAGTCATTTGTGAAAACACGACTGCCAGTTAGATACATTGGCAAACTTCTTCTGGGTATTTTAATTTGCATTTCTTGGTGGTTAGTGAAGACAGACTTTATTTTTTTTATGTGTTTCGTGGCTATTTGTAGTCCTTTTGTGACTGGCCCACTTATGTTCTTTGCGTTTTGTTTTGATGGATTCAAACCATTTCCTGTTGATTTTTACAAACTCTTTACATACAAAAGAAACTGACGCTTGGTTTTGTGTACTGCAAATATTATTTCCCAGTTTATAATTTGCCTTTTTACCTTACTTTTTTTAAACAAAACCGTTGGGATATTTAAAGTGTTTATATGGTTAAATCTGGCCTGGAGAAGACTCCCATGGCGCTGACCATCCCAGCAAAGTCTCTGATGGTTAGAAAGACAGAAATGGGCAGCGTAAGGCTGCTGTTTGACTGTGGGCTGTCACCCTGCCTCCTGTCGACCACTGTGTCACATTCAGCTAAGTTAAGCAAGGACTGGCTCCTATGTCTGTGCAGACTAGAAGTTTCAGGAGTTTTCTGTGTGGGTTTCTGGTCAGATTCCAGCTAGGTGAAAGAGCAGCCTGTTGTCTGATGCAGATCAATTTAGTACAAGGTTTTTCAGACTTTCTGAATTGAGATTCTTAGGAAGAGTCACTCGAGTTGTGTGATTTAAACAACTTGGCAGAAACAAAAGCTCAGGGTGCTGGGAGGAAGCTGGGCATTCCCCCAGACTGGTCCCCGTGATTCCTTACTGAACCTTTATTGTTTTCTCCTGTCAGAAAATCCTGGAACCTCATTGGTCTTTTCAGATTTATTCTTCTTGTCAGATGCGGTTATAAATATCCCTGGGAAATCATTTATTCCACGCAGTTATTACAGTGTTTTGCTTATTAACATCCACTTCCGATTCTTGTTCAATGTTTATGTACCTCTCCTTTCTTTACTGGTTCAGGTGCTCTGTGCTCACATTTTCTTGGCACCCTTTCTCTTTGTGGGAAGTGTCCCCATTGTCCCCATTTCCTCACTCCCCGTTTGCTGCTTTGTGAAGCCACCTTCTTCTTAGTCTGGGGTTTCTTTTATGGTTCTCTCTTGGCCTCAGGTGTCTGTTTATCAGACAAACTGCCTGTGAATCACTTGGACCCTTGTTTGTAGTCTCCAGGCAGGTAGGGCCGGGCCTGTCCTGTTACTGGCTCATCCCACGTTCACTCCTTGTGTTCAGCGAGGAGTGTGGACATTGTCACCATTCCTTACATGTGGCTCTGTTGGCTGTATTACATAAATCAGTGCTTGGCCCACTGAAGCCAAGAGCTTGCCCACTGGCCACCTAGGCTTGGGCTATAGGGACAGGCTCGATACTGAGGATGGCACAGAGCGGGCAGGGAAAGTGTGAGTGTCCCCAACCCCATAGCCCTCCTCCCGCTATGGCCCCCAAGCCTAGCAGCACCAGACCTGCTACTCCTGACCGAGGGGGTGCGGGGGCCCCAGAGGTCATGCTGACTCTGCTCCACTTGACACCCCTCTTTACGACAAATGCTTGGAACCCTGTCATTCATGGGAAGTGACACACACAAATATAACCTAGACACAGCGCCACAGCCACCATGCAATATACTGATTCCCTGGGGTGGAGATGGAGAGGAAAGGTGTTTGTAATGGAGGTACATGTCCACCCGTGACCCCACGGGAAGAAACCTTGAAGCAGCCAGCTGCTCTCACGCAGATAGTCAGGAATCTGGTGGGATGTCAGTGAGATGGCCTGAAGTACAAGGAAATGGGACATTGGGGGCGTGGCCCAGTCATAGCTGTGGCTGGGGTGGGTGACAAGGGACCAGGCCTACTTGGGGGGGCCAGCCAGCAGAGGAGGGAGGGAGGGAGGTGAGGATGAGGCAGACCTGGGAGTGCTGCATCCCCCCAGATAGGCTTCTCTAGCCCCACTGCCTGGCCAGTATATACCCTTCTGGGCAGGGGCAGAAGGGGTGGGTCAGAGGCCACCCCCAGAGAATACTGGGGGCCCGGGGGGTTGGGGTCCCAGGGAGGCAGCCCCAACACAAGTGACCTCAGTGACATGCTTTCACAGTGTAGGGTTCTGATCATCTGTATGCAGCTTTAAGGCATGTAGCCCTTGGCAAAGCAGTGGCAGGACATATTTTAAATGGTCTTTATTAATGAAATCTCTGGATGTCCTAACATTTGGCTCTAAGTCTGTTCAATATTTGCAGTGGGTCTCCGGCTTTTGTCCTAGTCATCCCAGAGCCTGACCCCTGCATTTTTAAGTCTGGAATGGCCTGTGCTTCCTCTGGGCAGTGGCACCCTGGAACCTGGATGGTGCCTCCCCTACATCCATGCCCACATGCATGCACATGCACACACACAAAACCATGTACATATCCACACAACACACATATGCATACACATGTACACACATCCATGCACACACACACACAGGAAGATGGGACACTGTCCCACAGGCCTCACTGTGAGCACTAGGGGTTGAAGGGGAAACATGGAGTCAGGCAGAACTGGCCCCTGGAGAGGCTGACCATCCTGAGGAGGGAGTCCAGGGGTGTTTCCTGGAGAAGGAGGTGTTTCCTAAGCTGAGCCTCAAAAGATGAGTGGAGCCAGGCAAGGGCTCAGCTGGGTGTTTGTGGCTACATGCTCCTTATTGGCACAGAACTGGAAGGTCGTGAGATCAAGGGTCAGTCGATAAAGGGAGTCTGAAGTGCAGTTGGAAAAATAAACTGAATGACCTAGGCTGCAGTGTGCACACGGCCCTCAGACACATCCAGCCTGCCACCCGTTTTCATACAGCCCGCAAGCTAGAGAGCTTTCCATGCGTAAATGGTTAGAAGAAAAGAACATTTTGTGATGTGTGAAAATCTTACGAAATAAAAATGTCAGCGTCCCTAAGGTTTGGTTAGACAGCTGCGTCGCGTCTTTTACATATTGTCCTGGTCAGTTTCCTGGTACAACACAGTCCGTGTGACAAAGGCCTGGACATATGGACCAGCTGACCATTTCTAAAGAATGTTTACCGACCTCTGACCTAGGGCTTTCTGTTGAAGAGTGGTTTAAGTTTAGAACTGATGGGACATGGTTCTGTTTAGGGAAAAATGCACTGAAGTAAATCCCAGTGGGTCAAGATGTTAAGTAGAAACAAAAAATACTAGAAAAAGTTATGAGAACACTCATAACTTCCTGGTAGGGAAAGTGCCATCGAAGACAGGTACTTGCCAGGACATCACACGCCAAAGGCACAGGATCCGCCTGGGTTTGTGGGAGCCCTGCTGGTGTTGGGAGGCCCTGGATCGCCAGCTTCACCTACATGGCTTCGAGTAGTTGGCAGAGATTCAGATCCTGCAGTTGGTACCACCCCTGCACCCCTACCCTTTGGGGATCTTCTCTGCAAGGCCCCAGTGCAGCCAGGATGAGGTCCTTGTCACCTGTGCTGTCCCCAACTGGCAACTGTCCCCCACTCCCTGACTCAGGCTTAGGGCCTCCTGTTGAGGTAGGTGTCCTGTGTCTTCTCCATGCAGTGGACCCTCTGCACTCACAGCTCAGGACATTGCCCCGCCTGTGTCTGCTGCCCTCCCGTCCTCCCCCCATCCAGTTCCATCCGCTTTGTGTCCCCAGGGACACCACTTTCAGTGACGCACCTCATCTTTGTCTTACCATCTTACCTGACATGATTTCCTCTAAGATCCACACTAATACTTGAGATGTCAGGGCCCTGTTTACTGCTGTGCCCTGGTGCCCAGTGCGGGGCAGAGAACGTGTGAGGGAACAAGCGTTGGTGAGGGATGGAGAGGGAGAGGGAGTGAGTGAATGAATGAGTGAGGAGTGAACGGATGAAATTGCCTCTGGGTTGAGCAGCCCATGTGCACGGAGAGCCAAGAGCTCTCTTCAAGCACTGTGGGCTGTTTTGTCCTTGACCTCTCACTTGTTTTATGAAAAGGTGACGTTGCAGCCCTAGCTGGTTTTGCTCAGTGGTTAGAGCGTCAGCCTGCAGACTGGAAGGTCCTGGGTTCGATTCCGGCCATGGGCACGTACCTCAGTTGCAGGCTCAATCCCTAGCTGGTCGGGGCACATGCGGGAAGGAACCAATCGATGTTTCTCTCTCTCTCTCCTGCTTTTATTTTCTCTAAAAAGCAACAGAAAAAATATCCTCGGGTGAAGGGGAAAAAAAAATTAAAAAAGAAAAAAAGTGACATTGCAAAGAGAGTAAGACCTGGATTCTCTCCGCTTAATCTGACTGTTCCCTGCTGCATCGGAGGTTTGACCAGGAGCAACACTGGCCTGACCCAGGGCAGGGACCCCTCTCATTCAGGTTTATATCACCTGAAATCTTGACCTCAGAGGGTGCCAGGCTCCATGAGTCAGGGTCTCTCTGTGCCCCGCCACCTGTCTTGGGACCGCCGATGACCTCTCTTTCCCTCTATGTTTAGGGAATGATCGCGGAACTGAGGGTGCGTGGTGATCCCCAGGTGAGCCCCCTGCACTGCCTGGAGGACGATGACGACGACAATGATGGGGTGAGTCTCCCTCCTCCACCCCCATCCCTACCCCTTGGGAGGAGAGCCCAAGCCATAAGGGCTGGCCTTCCCCAGGAACCCCAACGTGATGGGACTGGAAAGGTCTCTCTGAAAGATGCCATTTTGGATACCAGGAACCTGGTAACATTTTCAGTTGCCCTAGAGCATAAAAAAGCGCCCCCCCCCCCTTTCCTGGGACTCTCCATTCAAAACACACATGGACTATAAAGTGAATGCTGGATGGAAACGGTCCCCAGGACAGCCAGTAGGTGATACAGTTTATAGCAGTCAGCACGGCAAAAATGTGAGTAAGTGAAAAAGGAAAAGATGACTGTATTAAAAAAAAAGTGTGAGTGAAAAGAAAACGACTATTAAAAAAAGTGTGAATGTTGTGAGTGTGTATGCACACAATCACGTGGGACCTGAGGAGGCAGGTCCACCTGTTCTGGGGTATGGACAGACAGGAGGAAAGCCATGTCCTGAGGGGAGGCTCCAGATCTCTACGGGGCTTCTGTCCTCTGGGCTGTTTCCCTGGATAGCGACCCAGGAACAGGATGACAAGTGGAAGGAAAGGAACATGTTTCTTTATGGTTCTCTGTATGTCTGTTCAGGAGCCAAATTGATTTCCAGTGGACAGTTCTAATTGGTCTGACTGGGCATGCCTCATTGATGACCAGTTGACACCATTCAGGGGAGAGCCAGTTTTCTCCTGGCGACCATGAAAAGCACCTCCCTTTCTTTCTGTCCTCTCCCTCCTGCCTGGCCTGGGATGGGCCTGGGACAGGTGGGACCTGCCCTGATTTGCTCTCTAGGCCCTGCTGGGACTGGGGCTTCGGTCACCAGCTTCTTCCTTATTTCCTGTAAACCCTTTAGGCATCAGGAGACTTCGGAAGTGGGCAGGAGGAGAACCGGGAGCTTCTCAAGATGGAAGCTGTGAGTACTAGCAGGGTCTCCACCCAGGGCCCCGTCCCAGCCCACGCTATGCTCCCTCTCCTCTCTCGGGAATGCTTAAAATTGTTTTTTCTAATTCTTCACATTCCTTGAGTCCCTCAGGTGGCCTTAACATTCTGATGGAGCGTCCTCATTAGCTGTTAGGGCCTAAGGGGCTAGAGGGTCTGTAAGTCAGAGAAGGGGAAAGCTGTGCAGGACAGCACAGGCCAGCTCGGTGAGTCCCCCAGCTTACACTGCCTGAAAGAACACGCAGGAGGGAGTGCATCTGTGACTGTCAGAGGCATTGGGCAGATCCCCTGTGGGGTGCGCGGGCCTGGTGGGGGGGGGTCCCCAGCCACGGGAGAAGGCCTAGTGTCCCTCTCTGGCTGCTGCTTGCCCTCCAGACAGTGGGGGGAGCTCTCAGACAAGACTCACAGGATGACTGTCGCCCACACACAGTGTCTCCAGGGAGCGCATGCCCAGTGTGGGGTGGCCAGCTGCAGGCAGCGTCTGGCCTGCTGTTTGAACATGCACTTATACCTATATCCCCAGGCTCCATGGCGCCTCTGGGAACAGGGAAGACCGGTTTTCAGGGCAGATATGCCTCATCCCCTGCGGGTGGGGGTGGGGGTGGGTGGCAGCCACCCGACCATGGAGTGCAGGGTCAGGGCCCTCGCCAAGGACACATCATAGCCACACCCAACATGCAGTGAACCACCAGAGCTCCCTCCACCTGAGGGCATCTGTGACAGTGTTGACCACTTGCCCTTCTCTGTTGGGACTACGGGAAGGAGACAGGGCTCTGGAGTGTCACTGAGGGACCACCCTGGGCTGTGAGCTGAGGGAGTGGGTGCTGACTCCTCCCTTGCATGGGGGAAGTTGGTGGGCTTGTGGAGTTCGAGGACTTGCTGGGCTCTCCAGGTGGGGCTGCTAGGGGAGGGGACCCCACCTCTCTGGCTGTTTAGAAGAGAACAGCTCTGGAGGGCCCTGAACTTCTTCCTGCCTGAGGTGAAGGCCTGAGGCTTCTTCCTCATCTTTCCTAAAGTGTAGAAAGATCTTATTTTACAAACCATATAAATCTAACATTTGACAGCATACGCATTCACAAGACGTCCAAGTTTGCCGAATAACGAAGGCGTTTTCCCATTTACCTTGCCAGGGAGCGTCTCTAAAGCCCAGCCTCCCTGAGGCTCCCCCAGTCACTTTTCCTCCCTTGGCTGAAAGCAGCAACTCAGAAGATTCCAGAACAGAAGAAATCGAGGAGCAAACTACTGTGTCTTTATTAGGAGGTAAAGCTCTTGTGGGTGTGTGTGCATGTTAGTGGTGTGCGTGTTAGTGGTATATGCGCGTGTTAGTGCTATGTGCACATGCACATGTGTATGTGTGGCTGAGTGAGGGGCTCCTGTCCATCACAGACACAAGCCCCAGACTGGGGAGTGGTTGGCACCTGCCCTGCCCCCTCGCCACCCTGGCACATATGGGGTCATCTGTGGGAACAAGCTGTCCCCAGGAGAAGTCAGGGCAGAGTGGCTGTGGAACACGTGCTTCTCTTTCCCAGGGTTTGTTTATTGTTTTCTTCTTTCTGGGGTATTTGTGGGACTGTCTTGAGTGTGCTGCTGGAGTGACATGCCACTGCTCAGCCTGGGGGCCAGTGGGTCACTAGGAGGACATGAGAGTAGGTTGTGAGGGCAGAGACTTCTCTGCCCAGAACCTCTATGAAGTGGAACCACCCTGGGGTCAGCAGTATGGGGTCAGGGACTCCCCTTGGTGACCTTGGAGGTGCACTGGCCCAGAGAGTACACAAGCACAGAACTGCTGGAGGCAGGGCCAGGGTGCCCGGGATGCATTGAAAATGAAGTGTGTCTTAGTTCATTGCTGTGTTGCAACAAACTGCCACAAATTTAGCTGTCTGCAGCTGCACCATGTCTTGCCTCACAGATTTGCAGGCAGGAGTCCTCCTTGGAACCGAGGGCTGAAGGCTGGTGGGCAGGGCTGCTTCCCTGCAGGAGGCCCAGGGGAGCGTCTTTCCCTGCAGCAGTAGGACTGAGGGTCCAGGTTCTTTATTGCTGTCAGCCAGGGACTGCCCTCGGGCTCTAGAGGTCACCCACATTCCTCAGCTCCTCCTCACGACCCCCCCTCTTGCCTTCGTCTTCTATTTTGGGGCTTTCGGTGATGATTGGGTCATACCCTGAACTTCCAGAGTGATCTCCTTATGTTAGTGGGCGGGCTAGTAACCTATCAGTTACATCTGCAGGTCCCTTCCCAGTGGCACCTAGATTAGTGTCTGACTGAATGGCCAGGAGACAGGACTCCAGGGGCATCTGTAGGGTTCTGTCTGCACATTAATTTCAAGGTTTTAGAAAATTACATAGACTTTTTTACTTAGGAAAAAGCACAGATTGATTTTTAAGTTACTGAAATAATACATTTTCAATGCAGCCAAATTAGAAACAGAAAAGAACAAATGAGTGAGAACTGACGGTCAGTCCTACAGGTTCCCGCTGTTCTCATTTTCCCCTCGGTGGGCTAAGGGCGTGATGCCTGTGGCATTTGTCAGGGATGTGCTTCCCACAGGCACAGCCAGGATGGGCAAGGTGGGTGAAGCGCCCAGAGTGTCAATCAAACCCCAGCCAGGGTCAGACATGCCTCTGAACTTCCCTCAGAAGACAGGGCCTCTGCAAGTCACCAGGTGCATGTGAAATTTCAGTGCAGCATGAGTCCTGTGTTTTCCAATTGACTCAGTGATGCTAGAATGTTCAAGTGAAAGGTTTGGGGAACAGCCTCAAGTTTACCCTCAAATTATGTTCAAGCAAATTACGTGTGCCCATCCTTCACCCAGTGAGGAAATTGACAAATGGGAGAAGCAGAGAACAGGGACAGTGGGTAACGGGGCCACACACAAGCATTGCAGTGGCATGGGCCCTGCTCTTCTCTGCATGCTGGTGTCTGCAGCTTTGGGGAGATGTGCAGCTCAGGCAGGGGGCTGGTTTGGCCAGAGTTGGTCTATGGGCAGGGTACTTAGTGGGGCTGGTTTCCCCACTGTCACTATTTCCCCAAAAGAAGCTACACAGGACGCCACTGAGCAGTGGGGAAACCCGAATCAGGCTGTGTGTTAGGTCACTGTATGTGACAATGCTGAGTTTTGCATATGTGACCACCAGGTCATTAGAAAACACAATTGTTCTTGGGAGATGTGGCATTCAGGGGGAAAGGGTCATGATAATGCAGGGGACTCTCAAGTGGCTCAGCGAGAAGTGGAGTGTGTGTGTGACACTGAGTGTGAGAGACAACTGGAGTATGTGTTTAGGCGGCGATAAGCAGCCATGGAGGGGAGCATGAGCCAAGAGCAGAGACTGTTGCCTCCGTTCAGGGGTATGACCTCTGTGCCCCCGCTCCCCAGCTCAGACCCTTCCTGGCTCAAATATAGTCACCACCTTGGACAGCAGCATCCAGACCTCTGAGGATGTCCTGGAAGAGGTGAGGCACATCCCTGACCCAGAACCATGGGGGCCCCAGAGCAGTCTATGCCTCTGGTCTGCTCATTGGTGACCCAACCAAGTTCTGGGCCCACACTCTTCCTCTGTGTCCCTATGCCTGGCACATGGTGGGCATGGCTGGGAGGCTCTGGCCAGAGCATGAGGAACATGTGGGTAGGGATAGGGGACAACTGGGCAGACCCCTGTTAATGTCAGTGCCACCAGCCTGAACCTTGTGTGGGTCCACTCTTGTATCCCCTGTGTGTGTCTACTTTGTGTGTCCCCCTGTGTGGTACTGAGCTCAGCCCAGAACACAGGAGTGTGGTGGTGGGTGGGCAGGTAAGCGTGTATGTGGCNTGTTAATGTCAGTGCCACCAGCCTGAACCTTGTGTGGGTCCACTCTTGTATCCCCTGTGTGTGTCTACTTTGTGTGTCCCCCTGTGTGGTACTGAGCTCAGCCCAGAACACAGGAGAGTGTGGTGGTGGGTGGGCAGGTAAGCGTGTATGTGGCCCCCCAGCCTGTGCCCTTTCCTCCTTCCAGCGTCTCTCAGGCCCAGTGGTGCAGAGTCCTGATGCACAGGCTGTCCCTGGGCCACAGGGACCCCCTGGACCCCCAGGGCCACCAGGGAAGGATGGCGCCCCTGGAAGAGATGGTGAGCCAGTAAGTACACATTTCTCCTTGGTCCAGCTGGGGTGGGGGCTCAGGCAGGAAGGGGAGAGGGTGCAGCTGATGTGGCAGAGCAGCTGGACCCTAGGGACCCTGGAGACCCCAGGACAGTATGCACTGTGTTGGCTGCTCCCCTCCCTGTGGGAGAGCTGGAGGGTGCTGGGAGGCTGCGGGCAGAGCCAGCTGAGGCCAGCCCACCACGAACAAAGGTGGCCAGACCTTGGGTGGAGGTCCTCCCATGGGAGTCAGGTCTGTGGAAGGCATGGAGCCCAGGGTCCAATTCCATGTCAGATGCTGTGGGCACAAGAGCCCATGAGTCCATCACTAACCATTTCTCTTGCATGTTCCAGGGCGACCCTGGGGAAGATGGAAAACCCGTAAGTTTGCTTTTCTCTCAGAGCCAGGTATTATCTATGACATTTGTGTAAACCCCTCAGGACATTTTATCCTGTGACACTTTTCAAGTTCAGCACAGTGAAGAGATTTCAAAATGAAGCCATTTGGAAAATGCAACTTAACTTTGTTAAGAAAATACAAGTTTAACTCTTTGTAGAAAAATATAAAGTTATGCATATGTATTGAGATGTTTAGGCTAATTATCGGAGGGGATGGAAAAAAGGTATAACTTCCAAATTCTTAGAGGAAAAAATGCATAGCGGAGAAATAGAAGGCCGCCTGTGGTTGGAGGCAGTGCATGCGTGGAGCAGAAGACACGTTTGTTTATTTGTAGGTGTTAGTTGCAGACTAGTCTGTGGTCTCAGTAGATGTAAGAGTTTTTGTCTTAAAACACTTAATTTGGATTTTGAAAAATCAACAAATACTAGTTCCAAGAAACAGGATAAAATGACACAAGGTCATAAATAAAGATTTGGGAAGCAACAGACCAGCAAACAGCAGGCAGAAGAGAGTGTCGCTGACCAACCCTGGACACAAAAGACTAGTTAAAAACGTGCCAAACAAGAAGGGATATTTCATGTTGACACCTGAATGATCCCTAATTAATCTTTTCATTCACAATTGACGACAAAGCTTTGCAACAAGACTGATAAGGTGTGTGAGGAAAGTAACCAGCACTCAGTGGTAATGGGGGCTTCCACAGAGCAGGGACATGCGTGTGTGTGTGTGTGTGTGTGTGTGTGTGTGTGTGTGTGTGTGTGAGAGAGAGAGAGAGATTGATTGATTTAGGATTCAAATGACTCCATTAACAAGCTTGCTCTAATAGAGTGCATTAGCTTTGCAGTTTTTAGTCTGACAGACCCTGCAGTATTCCAAGTACATGTGGACATTAAAATACCTTGATGGTCATTTAGGCCACAAGGGCCTCTAGCCCACTACCCAGGTGGCATGCAACATGGCATGCACCCGCACACATAATGGGTAGATGTCTGCAGGATGCTCTAGTCAGTTCTGTGCAGGTTCTCCAGGGAGCTGTCTGTAGGAGGGTCATGTGCAGAGCCTCAGGAGTCCCCAAAGTCAGAAGTATCCACCTCTGGTCCCAGCTCAGGTTCAGCTTTTGTCTGCCTCTCCTCAATGCTCACAAGGGAGCAGACATTCAGGGCTCAAAGCAACAAAGCTGCAGGTCTGGTGGCTCAGACGGTGATGAGACAGAGGTGCTTTCCCCCTGACTGAGCTGCCTGCCTGTGTCTTCCAGGGTGACATTGGGCCTCAGGGCTTCCCGGGAACGCAAGGAGACGTGGGCCCCAAAGGTGAGAAGGTGAGTCTAACCTGGCTGGGGCTGTGGGTGGGCCGCGTTACAATCTGGATCCCCAATCTACAGCGGCGCCGTGCTACTTGGTATGACCAGGCATCTTTTCTTCCCAGGGGGATCCTGGGGTTGGTCCAAGAGGACCCCCAGGACCCCAAGGGCCTCCGGGGCCACCAGGACCCTCCTTCAGACACGACAAGCTGGTGAGTCCCGCCTGCAGCCTCTTCCACCATGGGAAGGTCCCAGAGGAGGGACCCTCCCATTACCTACTTGCCCTCAAATCTGGAATCGGCCTTCCTGAGCGGTGCCTGGGCCCAAGGGAGTCAGCTTCTGCCTATGGGGCTGAGGGTAGAGCAGAAAGCCCTCCGGGTAGTTCTGGGGTTCAGAAGGGTCCCCTTCAGGCTCTTTCACTTGGAGGGGATCCTATCTTCACTCTCTCTTTGCTTCCTGTCTTGACCTGGTGGTGACATGGGGCAGTGCCTAGGGGACAGCATTGTGCAGGGCCAGAGACAGGTGGACGAAGGTCTGGGCTCTGGGTGACGGGTGTCTGGTCTTTTTTTCTCAGACCTTCATTGACATGGAGGGGTCCGGGTTCGGCGGTGACCTGGAGAGCCTTCGAGTGAGTGTCCCTTGGCCCAGGTGGCTGCTGCCCCACTGTCTCCATGCACAAGTGGAACGTAGGGGATGGGGGGCCAGTTCGGCGGGGGCAGCTGTCCTTTGGCAGATGCCATGTGCATGACTTGTGTTTTTCTGTGTCCAGGGCCCAAGAGGTTTCCCTGGCCCCCCTGGGCCCCCCGGCGTCCCAGGTCTGCCTGGAGAGCCAGGCCGCTTCGGCATGAACAGCTCAGTCATCCCAGGACCCGCAGGCCTCCCTGGTGTGCCTGGGCGGGATGGACCGCCTGGGCTCCCCGGCCTCCCAGTAAGACCTGCCTCCCCTCAGCTGCCCTTGTCCACATCGGGGTAGGCTAGGTATGGGGGTGAACACCAAGTGTGGGGGCCTCTTCCTGCCTGGGCAGAAGTCCCCCTCACCACCTCTGTACTCTGTCCTCACCACTTAGCCCTCGAGATGGGAGGAGCCTGATAACTGGGCGCTGACCCACTGGGTGACCACATGCAGTGCCATTGACCTCTCTGTCCTTCAGTGGGCAGCAGACGTCACAGAGGTCATCTCCAGGAGTGATTCTCATGGGATCGGGGGGGCCCCACTACCCGAGAACCAGGGGCTGTGAGGAGCTCATGTTTGGCCAACTCACCATTCACAGGGGTCTTAGAGCCCGGCTCCCCTGCTCCTGGCACTGGGAACACAGTGGCCTGGTGGTTCCTACAGATGTTGCCACTGTGATCGGGTCATGGGAACCAGGTGCACATAGCCTGGTTTTCACTTGATGATGTACTCTAGGTGCATAATTTACCAGAATTCATCCTATTGACGGCATGTTGGCCTACTTTAGTGAGGGTCTGCCCCAAGATTGTGGGTGAGACAGCCCCCTCACCACAGGTTTGGCTGTTCCTCAATTTGATCAGCAGCTGAAAAAAAAGGGAAGGAAAGAAATTTAAAAACTGAGCACAGCAGCTTGAGCTTTCTGACCTGTGTTACCATGAGGGTTACTGTGAGCCACAGGATTCAGGCGTGTCCTTGATTCTCAGGAAATCTGTGGATACCCAGATCATCTACTAGCTCAGCACCTTCTCAGCTGCTGAATTCGCTCTGGCCCCATACTCTGCTTTCTCTCCTTCAGGGACCTCCAGGTCCTCCGGGAAAAGATGGGCGACCAGGAGATGCCGGCCAGAAAGGCAGCCTTGTAAGTCACTTCTCCAGGTGTCCAGGGTGGATGTCACCTACAGCTGCAGTGTGGCCAGAGGGTTACCAAACCCTGGATGTGGGGTTTGGCCCTGGTGACCTCATGGAGAAGAAGTGCCACAGGGTGGCAACACCTGAGGTTGTGGGTGGCTTTACTCCAACAGGCAGCCACCATCACCACTTCATCGCAGTGCAACATCCAGGCAGGCCTCAGGCTTCCCGAAGTTTGCTTAGAGTGACAGCTAGCTGGGGCTCATGTCAAAATCCAGGACCTTGTTATCACTGTTTCCTTATGACAATTGAACTAACGTGCTTTGAAGAATATTGACACTTCATTTGATTTGGACACTATTTCGTTTCAGTTTTGGTTGCATTGATAATGGAGAAATTTTCAGGTCTGCACAAACCTCCTTCTGGTTTTCAGTGAATGAATGGAGAGGGGCAGGGTTGCCAGCCTGCAGTCATTTGGAGATACTTCCATGGAGCACCTTTTGTGAGCACCTGGCTCCTTGGGGTCAGCTCAGAGTTCCTCACTTTGGCTACCTGAGCTAGAAGGACTCTCTTGGGGCATTCGCTACTTGGCATACAGTGGTGGGGATGTGCTCTCAGCAGTGGTTCATTACTGACCCCCACGGCTGAGCCTTCCCTGGAGCCTCTGTCCCCACCTGATACGGGCAATGGTTGGAACAGCCAGAGAAGTACGCCAGGACCAAGAGGGGCAGTTGGAGTTTTAGATGCACGTCTTCTGGGAGCGGCATTTAGGCATCCCAGCTTTCAGGTCCAGAAGAGAGGAAAATCAGATACTAATAAGTCAGCATAAGTGGGAAAATAGTGACTTTGTGGGCCAGGATAAATGAATGAAACCCTGTGTGCGTTTCTTTTGCTGGCTGCTCATTGATCTCTTGATAGTAATTATTCTCTTTCCTGCAGGGTAAAGTGGGCACGCCAGGACCTAAGGTACAGACATACTTCCCGGGCTGGATTGGCTGCTGGGTGGAAGTAGCCCGCACCCCCTATTAGGGCACAGGAGTGGGCAGGCAGGCCCCCACAGGAAGTGAGCTGTCCTTGGTGCTGATATAGGAGCTGTCCTTGGTCCTTGGTCAGCACCCCGGGGCTGTGGAAAGGTGGCCTTCCTGCCATTAGGCAGGCTGTGCTGCCAGCATAGGGCAGTGGTCACACTTGTGCCCTTGCTGTGTCAGTGGGTTTGGTGTGACCTGCCACAGCGCCTCCTGGCTCTCAGTCCTCAGCCCCACCTGCCCCACGTGGGCAGCATGCTCTGTGCACAGTGCACCCTAAACCATGAGTGTCTCCCTCCTCTGAAATGAATGTCTCAGGCATGTGTGTGTGGTTCTCTCTCAGTTTTTTTATTTTTAAGTGGATGAAATCCTCTCATAAATTCTGAAGAGGTACAAAAGGGTTTGCTTGCTTCGTGGAATGTTATTTATCTCTATGGCTTTGCAGATTTGTAAAAAGCTTTGTAAGGAAATGTAGGTGTGTTGGGACACAGTGACTGCCTCAGGGTTCAGCTGACACCCACTCTGATGGCCGAGAGTGATGACATTCTCTCTCCACCTGTGCAGGGAAGCAAGGGAGACCCTGGCCCCCTTGGTCCTCCTGGGGAGAACGGCTTGACAGGACTCCCTGGACCAGCAGGACCACCAGGGCCCCCAGGGCCCCCTGGGCCTCCAGGACCAGGACTTCCCGCAGGGTTTGTGAGTACCAGCTGCTCCTGGCCCCCAGAAAGCCTGGGCCTGTGCCCCACGGCTCCCTCCCATCATCCCACACTGACTACCCCATAGTGGAGTCCCCACCCGTGAGCTGTAAGTGGCTCGGCATCCTCAGCAGGAAGGACTGATTGGCTTTAGGGCATAGTGAGTGTGGGTGTGTCTTCTGAGTCACATCACTGCCTAGACAGTGCCTCACGGTAGAGCCATGGGCAGTGGGAGGGAACAGGCACCCATTTCCACAAACAGCCACTGCTCAGAGACCATGTCCCATGAGTGATGCTGAAGGGCTGCTCCAGGGAGACAAAAGCAGAAACTGAGCACCATCACACAGCCAGGTCCCCAGCACACCCTTGGAGCAAGAGTGAATGACCTAAACTTGAGAGGCTGAAGGGGCACCCATCCAGCAGGCCCTGCCCCAGGCACATGCTTCTTATTTGAGAACGAGGATGGCCCCTACCAGGCGACCGGACCAGATCTCGGGGAGGGTCACTTTCTGTAAGAAGAGACACAGACCAGAGTGATGTTTTCTCCAGGATGACATGGAAGGCTCCGGGGGACCCTTCTGGTTGACAGCCCGAGGTGCTGATGGTCTGCAGGTACTGCCTATGAACATGCTTGATCAGCTCTGGGGGTGTGGGGTCACCTGGGGCAGGGCCCATCCCTGGGACAGGCCGAATGGGGACCAAGAGCAATGCTGCAGGCCCAGAGGAGCCACCTGAGTCCAAGGCACCTTCCACCCTAGAGGCTCCCTCATGTGGGAAAATGCCCCTGCTGGTCAAGATGAATGAATGTGGGGTGGAATGAGCCCTGAAGGATGAATCTTTCTGGGAAATCTCAGTCTCTGAGTTCTGTTTGATGCCTTGGATGTCTCAGCTGGCTAGAGGGAGCAGCCAGATGAGTTTTCCATTCTGAGCAACATCAATAAGAATTTTCACTTGGACAGAAACTAAGTCCATACATAGTCAGCTAGGATGGCTATAACATCTCAGCTCAGTACCTTTCCTTTTATGTATTAGAACATCTCAGTTCTTGTCAATAGCAGTTAGCTGCCCTGGCATCAAGTGAGGTGTGAGCCAAGAGGTGAGACTAATTGCTGTGACACAAGTGGAAAGAATCCTGTGGGCAAAGGCAGCAAGATTTGGGGGCACAGGACCCCTATTTCAGGGTTCCAGGCCCAAGTACACAGCTCCAATGCTCCTTGACCTCTGGAGGGGTTAGTGGGACTGTTTCAGGCCTCAGGGGGAGGTGATGGAGACCCTCGGGGGTCACAGTGAGGCTAAACCAGCCAAACGTCAGTATTCCATCTGTTCAAATGCACTTACTTTTAGTTAAATAAGTTGCAAATTTGTGTTAGGGTGGTCTGAGCTGATGGCCCAGGTGGGCTGGCTCAGGGCTGGCGTGGGGACTGGCACACCTGCTGCAGCTAGTTTATGTCATGTCTATGGGGCTCTAGATGGTGCCGAGGACAAACCACCCTCTTGGTGGGATTTCAGGGGTGGGGTGCTGGCTCCTGTTGACTTTTCCCATTTCACTGGGAGCCAGCAGCTCTGGGAAGGGCTTGTGAAAGGGAGAAGCTCTCCCAGCAGGACCAGGCTCTAAGGGCTTCTTCCCTTTCTGCACCCACAGGGACCGCCTGGCAGGCCTGGGGTCAAGGTAAGTCGGAGATTAGTTAGCGGGCGCCCCTGCCACACTCCCCCCGGCCAGGAGTTAGTTACTGCTTCATATCCCCAGTGCATCATGGGAAGTGTAGGGGAACAGTCACGCACTGCAGCCCAGTACCTGCATGTTGGGGTGGGGTAGGGGGGTCTGACCCATCTTTCTAAAGCCATGTGACCTGAGATCCCCGGCCTCACGCATCTGAAGTGTGTGCTGACTTGGGCAGAAAAAAAGGCTTCAGAAGGAACCCCCACAGCCTCTGGGAGAGCAGATGGTGCCCCTGAGACCCTGGGGGCTTCTCTTGGGCCATCCCCCTACCTTGTCCTTCATCTTTTCTCCTCCCTGCTTGCTCTCTGCTCCCCCACCTGTCCCTGGAGGGTACCTCCCCCTCTCAGGGTGATGAGGGCAGGAGTGGCCCCCAGTAGGGGTTCCCCTTTGGGCTGCTCTGTGCCCCCCTCCCATGGGTTCTAGGGTTCAATAGGCCCACTGCGAGATCTGCCCCTGCTATTCCACTCTTCCTAAGAATGTTTTGCTTTGATTTGCAAAACTTTGGGACATTTCAAAAGTTGAGTTTTTAGAAGTCCTTACCTATTATCATAAGCTGTAAAAAACGAAGTCATCTCATAGATGACGTCAATGACATGATAGCATGGCCTCCAGGACAGCCCTAGCCATGTGCCCTTAGCATGTGGCCAACCCCCAGCCATGCAGGCCACAAAGTCCCTGCATATGTTGCTCAATGTCCCCCGGACACTCAGCTCTGAGCTGGGGGAGGAGAGCGGTGTGGGAGGCCACCTGAATAACTAATCTTTTCTTGCCTTTCTCCGGGGACGGGTGAACACTGTCACGGGGTTGGGCCAGCCCAACACTGCACTAACAGAGCCCCTTCACCCACTTTAGGGGGATCCTGGAGTAGCTGGGCCACCAGGGACCAAGGTAAGAACCGATTCTCAGGTCTAGGAAATCGGCAATCTTTCTTAGCCCTAGTCTGGGAGCCGGGAGGGGTCCTCAGGCTGAGGCTAGAAGCCTCGGCTGTGCTGTGCCCATTGGCTCCATTGGCCTCATCAGTCCAATCCCCCCGGAGCCTCAGTAACAGGAGTGAGCCTGCACAGGGCCACCCTCCAGGCCAGGCGCAGCTTTATTCTCCCGCTCTCCCCTGGCTCATCCTTGTCATCTTGGCCCTTACTCTGTTCCTTAGAATTAACACCTACTTGTCCCAAGGCGCTCACCCCCAGGTCACACCCCAGGTTTTCCTGCTTCCTCCTGGCTCTCTACAGAAATCATGGAACCACATGAGTCCTTTGACCCTCCTCCGACCCCCAGCTCCCAGCCCTGTCCTGTCCTCTTTGACTCCTCAGTGCTTCTGAGAGACCGAATGGATCTTGGGTGTGAGCTCCAGCCTGACACCTCCCCAGCACCGGCTGGCTGGGTCGTGTCTGACGTACGGTCCTCTCCTTGTGTCCTTTGCAGGGAGAAGTCGGTGCAGATGGGCCCCCTGGGTTTCCTGGCCTTCCTGGCAGAGAGGGCGTAGCTGGAGCCCAGGTAGGTGACCTCCCAGGGATGCTGGGGGGTGACACCCCAAGTTGGGAGCCGATACTCTAGTGTGTCTCTCAGGTGGTTCCCCAACTTAGTTCTCTGTATGCCAAGGGGTCCGGAGACTCCACTCCATGAGATGAGTCGGGAGTCCAGGCTGCCCGAGGGAGTTTCCTGTGGTTGCTTAGCTCATCTATCCCCTTCCCATTTGGTCAGTGAAAGAACTCCCCATACCTCATTCAAAGTGGGCTCTAGCAGTCCGGGGTGTCCCAGGGGGGTGGGGAGGGTGGCTTGTGCTCTGTTTATGATGAAACATGTTCTTTCTGTCTCTGCAGGGACCAAAAGGAGAAAAGGGGACCCAGGGAGAGAAAGTGAGTGGGGGGGGGGCCTTGGGTGCACAGGTGGGGTTGAGGGTACACTGTGGCCTTGGGGGTCTCTCAGGCCACCTCCTTACACCCTATGGGCTCTGGAGTCCCAGCCAGAGTCACTGTAACAATTCTACCCTTACAAGCAACCCAAGCACTGGACACAGGCTTCTTCTTCCAGGGCGACCCAGGGAAGGATGGAGTGGGGCAGCCAGGCCCCCCCGGCCCCCCCGGCATCCCAGGGCCTGTCATCTATGTGTCGGAGCAGGACGTAAGGACGCTGCATGGGTGGGCATATGTTCTGTCTGGATCCCCAGTGCTGGTTACAGCCAATGCAGTGTTGACTCCCAACTTCCAGGGTCCACACTCTGATTCCAGTGAGGGCTGGGATGACGTCTGTCAGAGCCACCAGGCCTCCCCCCATAGGGTCACCCCCAAAGACATCACGATTTCCAGTCTGTTGGTTCTGTGAGGTTTCTCACTGTCAAAGCAAGGCCTTTCAGAGCTGCCCAATTGGCAGCATGTCCCATTTGTCCGAGTGCCACCCGCTCCGTGTGCTGAGCTCTCCCCTCTGGCCCCCAGTGCACAGCACAGGAGGTAGGGGCACTGGACTCCTGGTCCCAGGGCCACGGACAATTCTACAGTTCAGGAGGTGGGCTCCCAGGAGCAGCTTCACTTCTTACCTGAGGGGACCTAGAGGCACAAGCCAGGACTGTTGAAAACAAAATTCTGTCCCGTGTTTAATTTCTGGTGATGTTCTGTTGGTCTTGTGAGACTGATAAAATGAGAGTGGAATTTTAATTGTGAATGTGGTTTTCTTTTTGCAATTTTGTGTTTCTGCCTCCTTGGTGACAGAGAGCAGTGGCCATGGCCCGTGGAGTCAAGGTATGTGCTGCCCGATCTGGAATGCAGTCTGGCTGCACAGTGCCTGTCACCATCCCCCCAGTGACAGACACTGTTGCTCTATCCCACAGGGCCAGCCAGGGTACGCGGGCCTCCCGGTAAGTAGCCTCAGCCCCACCCCGGCCTGGCAGGAAGTAGGGCTTCCACACTGAAGGAGCCCAGTGCTGGGTGGGCGCCTGCTAGGTTGAGAAACCTTCTGACCCCTTAGTAGGAGCCCCTGGGGTCTAGCACAGGGGTCTTGGGTAGGGTGGAGCAGGCCTTTCTCTGCCTACAACTGGTCAAGACCACAAGACAGGCGCATCTGAGGTAGCCATGCTGGGAGAGGGCATGAGTGGCCATCACGGGGACTGGGTTGCTCGTGGGGCCCCTCATTGCTTCCTGTCTCCTTGCAGGGACCAGCCGGGTCGAAGGGAGATGTGGGCTCCAGAGGCCAGCAGGGCCCCCCAGGACCCAAGGTGAGGGGTTTTACACCATCTGCTCAGGGATGGCCCTGTCTGTGACCCTGGGGGACAGTACTGGTCCACCCAGTTGATTATTCTCAGGGGGGGCTGTCACGGCCCTGGGAGCTGGGAGCTGTCACGGCCCACCTGAAGCCTGTGACAGATTCTGACATAGGTTCTCTCTGTCACTTCAGTGTGACCCATGGGGAACCCACCAAGACTCCCAACCACAGCGCCCCCAGAAGGGGAGGCCTGCTCATGTGTGCCTGTTTTGGGGTGTTTGCGTGGACGCCTGAGTTGGGGCTTTGCTGTGGTGAGTGTGAGGGCCCTCTCCCCTGGAGCTGTCTTCCCTGACTGTGCTGCTCGGTGTTCTAGGGCGAGAAGGGTGAGCCCGGCACAGTCTTCAGTCCCGATGGCAGAGTGCTGGCCCCTGCCCAGAAAGGAGCCAAGGTGAGACAACCTGGGCCATGCTTTTCACTCCTTGTACAGGCCAGGGGAGCAGGGTTTCCAGGGACCATGGAGTGAGCATGGAGGTGGGTTGTCTTCCTGAGAGGGACCAGCTCCTAGCCACGCAGGAGAGCCTCCTGAGCATGGTTCCGGAATCTTCCACAGCCTGGGCCCCCTTGCCCTTCCCTGTCTGTTCCTCTTTCACAACCACATTGGGAGGGTCCTGCACACTCAGATGGGCCGCAACCTGCTGGTCCTTGGTCATACCCTTCCCGTCGGCTGAGCCAGCCCTGCACAGGGGCTGGAGGCACTCAGGGCCACGGCTCTGGGCTCATTCCTTGGCCTGGCTTCACCTGCAGGAGATAGAGTCCCCAAGTTTGCCCAGTGGGAGCTACCCCATCCTTCTGTGTCTGGCTGCCCCTCAGCCTCGGACTGTGGCTAGGGTCCTGGCCCTCCTTCCTCAGGAGGGAGCAGAGCATGGCTGGGGTCAGGTGTGGTTCCCTGCTCCCAGCACATGACCCTCCAGACAGGCACTTGGGTGGGTCCTGGGGAGTAACTGGACCCTGATTGGGTGGCTATGGGTGCAGGCTTGCAGGGGGCCCCAAAGCCCCAAGAATTGTTGGGGATGGGCCACAGGACCTTGGGTCCCAGGCCCAGAGAAAACTGCCAGCCCCAGCTGGCTTCATACCTGAGGTCAGGGCCATGGTGACTCTAACCAGGACACCGCAGGGCAGCCTCCCAAGCCTCAGGGCTCTCAGGGTACACCCCATCCATGCTCCCTGGGACAGAAACTCCACTCCAGCCCCTTCTCTCTGCTGTTGTTTCCTTCCCTCCTCTGGTGGTCAGTGCTTCAGTGCTGCCTAGAGGGCATCCAAATGGGCACAGGGAGCCCTGGGGGTATCTAGATGGGCACAAGGACCCCTGGGGAGTGCCCAGCGCGGGGGGCGTGGGGGGAATGACTTGCTGTCACCTAACAGTGCTTCTGGTTCTGTTCAGGGAGAACCCGGCTTTCGAGGACCTCCGGTGAGTAGCCCATACTTCCCCCCCACGCACATGCGTGTGCTGAAAAGCACCTGTCACTGCCTGGCTACTGAGAAACACGAGTGACCAGAGTTTACATCCCAGCTTCGCATTTAAAGCTCAGGACAGCTGTTGGTGGGAAACCACAGCGGGTTATGTCTTGCTTACCTGAAACGTGGCTCCTCCTCTCTGCAGGGTCCGTATGGACGGCCTGGGCACAAGGGAGAGATTGGCTTCCCTGGACGACCGGTATGGATCGAGGGTCTCTTGCTGTGTTGGGGAGGAATAGGCAGAGAGCAGCCCAGGCCCACAGGGACATGGGTTCTGAAGAGAGTAGACTGCCATCCTTCCCACTGTCCTGCACCTAGGATGGCCCGTGCCTGAACACAGCTCTCTTTGGGACATGGGCAAGGAGTCCTGGCCCTGCTAATGGGCAGCTTGGACCTGGAAAGGGCTGATGCCCCCAGGAGGCCCTGGGTGGGGACAGGAGCTCCTGGGTCCCAGCCCCCCAGGGCCTGAGGGCTGGGGTGGTATGAGGCTAGGCTGGGCTGGGTTTGCGCTGGCAGGGACTGAGATAGCAGCTGAGGCCACGATCTTGGCCAGCACCCAGCAGCTCCCCCAACACTCTCCCCAGGGTCGTCCTGGGATGAATGGATTCAAAGGAGAGAAAGGGGAGCCAGGAGATGTCAGCATTGGATTTGGTGCAAGGGTGAGTATCCTTCAAGAAGTGGACAGGGCACAGCTGGGACACCCAGCGCCCAGAATAGCCTGGCTGGAACAGCCTCGGGTTCCCAGGCTCGTCTTCAGGAGGCTGCTTCTGAGGGGCCCTGTGGTGTGACCACTCTGTGCTGGTTTTCTGACTCCCCTCCAATACTCCCCTCCCCCCACACACAGGTGGACAACATACACGTCCAAATGCACACACGTGCTCACACACAGCCCCGGCCCACCTGGAACAGACTCCCTTTCTTGGAAGGACGTCCAGGTTGGCATGGGTTCCGTGCTACGGGGTTCTCTTCACTCAACACCACGTTATCACTGGCAGTAACTCTGCCATTTTTCGAGCCAAGGTTTTTATTTTAGTAACATCAGCAGGGTAAGGCATTTGTAGCCATTCCTCCTGAGACTCAGGGCTTGCTCCTGACACGCCGGGCACCTAGTACCCCTCCTGCCACACTCACACATCCTCTTCTGGAAGCCCAGCCCCAGCCCAAATATCAGCCCAGGGCCCCTCCCGCCCCTCCCTGGTCCCTGTCCCGGGTTCCTGTGAGCCCAGCCTGAGGAGGACAGGTCCTGAGCTCAGTGTCCCAGGAAATCTGCTCTTCCAATTTTCTCTTTACTGTGGTTCTTTGTAGAGGCTTCCTTCCCCCTTGTTGACTAAAACTGGGCCATTAGGAAAAATTGGGACTAGAAGGCAACATTTTTCAGAGTTCTGACACAGTGATGGAAGAGTAGGTCACATTTGTGAATAAGGGAGAGGCTCTGGGGTTCTTTTCACACTGTTGAGTTTTAAAAACAGGTATGAAATGGCTGTGCATGTGCTCCTGGTCAGGTGCATCCCACCTCCGGCTCTGCTTCTAGTCTCTCCCTCCTTGGCCATACTCAGAAAGTGGCTTAGGAAGTGACCACTGTGACTTTCAGAAATGCTGCTACCCACATCTGCCGCCTTGGCCAGTGTCTGTGCCCTTGCTGGGGACCTGACTGACCAGGGCTTTCTGTTTCCCTCATATAGGGTCTGCCTGGCCCCCCAGGGCCTCCAGGGCCCCCAGGCCTTCCCGGGACCCCTGTCTATGACAGCAACGTAAGTCACCCGGTACCTGCTCTCCCCTCCCCAGTCCTTAGACAGAGTCCTTGGTTGCTGCCACCTTCCCAACACCAACCCTCACCAACCTCAGGGAGGGGCAGCCGAAGCCATAGCCCCTGGGCCTCTGAGTAGGGGAGATGAGGTGCTTCTGGGAGGGAGCTGGGTAGTGGGCGCCCGGCTGCCTTCCTCAGGGGCCACAATTGATTAGAAGATAAGCCCCCAGGAAAATACAGGTCGGGGGCAGGGAGAGCTCTCTGGATCTGGGCACCTGAGTACCAAACGCCGTGGTCCTTGGGAAGGTGGACATCCTCATTTGGCGAGGCTCAGAGACATGAAGCCAACTCATGGGGCACTCCTCATGTCATGACCAGGGCTCCTGATTCCAACCCCGTGTCCTCTCCTTTCCCCAAGCTGCACCCATCTTGGGATGGGCATGGCTGAGGGGTAAAGGGTGCCTCTGTGGCCTCGAAGAGGGTGCTGGGTCTTCTGGACTCAGAGACCCCTGGGTGGGTGGTGGCCTGTTTCCAGAGTGTCTCCCTCAACCAGCCACCTTTGGCCCATTCTTTGCAGGCATTTGTGGAGCCTGGCCCTGCTGGCCCTCCCGGATTGCCAGGTGAGGGCTCCTAGGGCCCCTGGGAGAGCTAGGGATGGGTGGCCCTTTACAGGGGTGCTGAATGCTCCAGGACTTAGCGCTCCCTGCTCACCCAGCTCTGAGGCAATATGTATTCCCTGGGACCTAACCATGGATGGGAGTGGACATAGTGGCCACCCCACTTGATGTCCACAATTTAGGTTCTCTGGAGGGTGTGCCCCTCTCGTACATTCTATAATGGGCACTGGGATCTCTGTCCCTCCAGGGCACCAGGGGCCTTCAGGACCAAAGGGCGACAAAGGAGAAGTGGGCCCTCCTGGACCACCAGGTGAGAGTGCTCTGGGTGGCCCTGGGCTGAGGGGCTGTGTTTGTGGTTACCTGTCCTGCTCTTTGGGAGGAAGAAAGCCCCTTCCAGACTTGTGGGGCCCTGACAGGACCTGTGGGGCTGGGGCTGGACTTTAGGATGCCTGGTTGGCCTGATAGCCCCCATAGGGCCTAGGGGGTGGCAAGGATAGCGGGGCCAAGGCAATGGCCAGGCAGGATATCCCATCATCCCACCTGCTGAGGAGCAGGTCTGGGCCTCAGTGTGTGCCTCCCAGAAAAGACCTGGCACCTCTGATGGGGATGGTGAGGAACCTTTTAGGGAGAAGGAAGTGACGCTGCTGAGACACAGGATGAAGGACAGTGGAACCATGTGGCCCCACTTGACAGCACAGCAGAGTCCAAGTCTCTGAGGTCCCAGCCCTGCCCAGGAAGCACTGAAGACCTCATGCACGTGAGACTCCAAGTGTCAGGGGTGCACCAACCCCTCAGAGCTAAGTCAAGAATGGAAAAGGAACATGTAGCTAATGACCAATGGGAAGGAAGAGCAACATAGAAAACGTGGTCCAAAATATGGTGAGAAAGGAGAGAAAAAGCACAGAACAGGCAGAACAAATAGAAGACAGGGAGTAAAATAATTAATTTAAACCAGCTCTCTCAGTAAGCGTAATAGCTAAATATTGAGATTAAAACACAAAATCCTTAGTGGGATAGAAACAAAACTACATGCTGCTCACAAGAGACACCTCCTAAATGTAAGGACATGGAAGCACACGTATGTGCCCACATTTGTGCCGTGTGAGAAATCAGACACGTGTGTCTAAAGGCAGAGACATTGCCAGAAATAAAGCATCCATAATGATAGGAAAAAACCCACCAAATAAAAAGAAAATACAGGAAGTCCAAATCTGTCTGCACCTAACAACGTGGCTTCAGAATGTAAGAAGCAAAAATCAACAGAACTGAAAGGAAAAACAAGGAAACCAGTGATCACGGGAAATTTTAACCGGTTCTTGGTAAGTGATGGGACCTGCAGAGAAAGGACAGGTCAGTCAGTAGATGGAGGATCTGAACAGGTGACAACCTGAAGCCCAGGTCCTGACACCAACACGGACGACACAGCGTGTTCAACATAGGAGCCCGTGCCAGGCAAAAGCAGGTCTGCAAGTTGGGCAGAGGGGACATCATGCAGAGTCTGCTCTCTGACCACAGTGGAGGTGTAGCCGGAAAAGTGCCCAGGTATGGAGAAAGCACAACAGCGCTCTCACTCTGCCTGCCACGGCCCTGGAGCAGCAGGCCCCGCACGCAGTGAGAAGGACGCAGGACAGGAAGTCCCGTGGTGACAGCATGTGAGCTGGGCCGCCTTGGGCAAGTTAGGAAACAAATAGCAAACTTAACTTGAAGCGAATAGGTGGGAAGAAATAGTAAAGACCAGAAGTGAATGAAAACGTGTGTATAGTAGGAAACATCAAAAAGTCAAAACAGCACGTTAGTTCTTTGAAAAGACTAATAATACTAATGCGCCCCTCGCACACTGACAAGGAGAGAGGTGCGGCGACATGCTGGAAAGGGGACTACCTTACGATCTGGTAGAGGGTCCACAGGAACTGACCCCCGCTGTGCTCAGTGGGGGTGCGGGGCTCCGGAGTCAGGGCCCAGGTGGGCGTCTGTGATCCTCACTGGGTGCAGGGCCTGGCCAGGGGAGGGGCAGGGAGGGAATACATGGTGCACATTTATGGAAAGGAAGAAATCATGTTTATGATCGTCAACCACCCAAAAGGAGCTACAGATAAACTGTTAGAATTTATAAGTAAATTCATCAGGGTCACAAGGGTAATTTACAAAATCAATAACCAGTCATAAACAAAATGAAATTTTTAAAAAGTAACATTTAGAAAGATACCAGATTGGTCATTGTCAGAGGCAGGGGTCGGGGGAGGGAGAATTGGATGAAGGGGGGTCAAAAGCTACAAGCTTCTAGTAATAAGATAAGTAAGTCCTGGGGGTGTAACGCACAGCATGGTGACTACAGTTAACGTTGCTCTATCGTAGGTTTGAAAGTTGCTGAGAGACTAGATCCCACAGATTCTCATTAGAAGGAAAGAAAACCTTTTTTCTTCATTTATCCATCTGAGATGATAGATGTTAAGTAAACTTACTGTGGTGATCATTTCACAATAAACATAAGTCATGTTATTCTACTGTATGCCTTAAACTCATCCAGTGCTGTATGTCAGTTATATCAATAAAACTGAAAGGAAAAAAAAATCCAAAAAAAATCAAGTAACTGAGGATAAGTGTAACAAAATAGGCAGAGATTCTCTACATAGAACTTTTACAGAAAGAAGTGAAAGAAGATGCAGACAGGTGGGGATGTAAATGAAAGATGCTGTACAGATGTCTCACTGAGGGCCCATCCAAAATCTTTCCTGTAGGGCAGTTCCCGTTCGACCTTCTCCAGCTAGAGGCTGAAATGAAGGTGGGTGACACCCCTTATCACTTTGCTGAGCCCTCCTCAGACCACTACCCTGCCAAACACTTCCCTCTGCCCACCCCACGTGGCGCACTGGCTGTCCCCGGCTGGGTTTTGCAGGGCCTCACTCAGATGCAGCAAAAGACCTGCCAGGCCTGGGCTCCAGATGCTTCCAGCTGCCTTACCTTGCCCACCTCCAGGCTTGTGGGGGTCAGCACCCGCCCCTCCCCATACCAGAAATGAGAGCTAGACTGTCTCAAACAAGTATTTCCATCCACAGGGGGAGAAAGGTGACCGAGGGGACACCGGGCAGAAAGGAGAAAGGGGTGAGCCCGGGGGTGGCGGATTCTTCGGCTCCAGTGTGCCTGGACCCCCGGGCCCTCCAGGCTACCCTGGGATTCCGGTAAGTTGGCTTCAGGCCACCATGTAGGTGCCTACACACACACCCAGAACTGTGCCAGAGCCTGGGTCCCCAGAGGCCCCTGGGGCCAGGAGCCAAGGGCAGAGCCAGCCTGGCCATGAACACCCAATGAAGCCCACAGGCTGTGCCCTGCAAACTGGTCCCCAAGCACTCCCATCCTAGTTCTGTCCCTCTCCCTCCCCCCACCAGGGAGGGCACACTGACCTGGGAGTGTTCACAGCCAGGGAGGGGAGGACAGGGTGGAGCCTTCACCTGATCTCCTGCTGGCGCTGTTCCTCCTGATCAGGACCCCAAGTCCCCTCAGGGAGACCATCTGCCCTAAAAGATTCCAGGAAACAGTGGGCCCGGCTGTCTGGGGGATGGAGATGGATTAAGGGCCCTTGGGAGCCCCTGACTGCTCTGGTCCACATGCTGGGATCAAACCCCAGCAATAGAGACATGGGGTAGGGGTGGGGGTTCTCCCAGGCCCTGGGGCATGGGCAGGGAGGTGACATGGCTGTTTCCTGCCGAGGTTCTTGGCAGATGCTGCCCAGCCCCTCAAACTTAAGTGTCCTTGGCTTAGGGACCTAGCTGACAATACTTCATGTCTTGTTGTCTGTCCTAGGGTCCCAAAGGAGAGAGCATCAGGGGCCAGCCTGGTCCACCTGGACCTCAGGGACCCCCTGGCGTTGGCTACGAAGGGCGTCAGGGGCCTCCTGGGCCCCCTGGCCCCCCAGGGCCCCCAGGGCCTCCTTCCTTTCCTGGACCTTACAGGCAGAGTAAGTTGGGCAGGAGGTGGGTCTGGGCTCCAGCCTTGTACCGCTGGGGCTGGTTTGTTCCTACCTCTGGTTTCTCTCTTGTAGCTATCAGCATTCCTGGCCCCCCAGGCCCACCTGGGCCCCCGGGACCCCCTGGAACCATGGGCACCTCCTCAGGGGTAAGCATCCTCCTGCCCTGACCCTCACTGCCCAGTTGCCTGCCCAGCCACCCTTCCCTTTGGAGGCCTGTGGGGGGCCTGCTTCAGAGGGGTCCTGGGTAGACCCCACAGGAACCCTGGTGCTGAGGCTGGCTTTCCTGGGGCAAACATAAGAACCCTGAAATGTGGTTTCTGAAGTGGGGCACCCGGGGGCCATGACTGAGATGGGCAGGGTGAAGAGGACAGAGGACAGCCATGGAGGAGGCCCTAGTGGGCGGGCCCATGTGCAGAGGTCCAGGGACTTACCGTGCTCATGGGTAATGGGGGGCTTCATGCCAGGCCTGCCCCTCCCTCCTTCCTGAGGGTGGCCTCATCCAGCCAGCCTTCACAGGGTGTTCTCAGGGGCCAGCCTGACGAGAAGGTGCCCAGTTAAGTCTTAAGAACTGTCCTTTTTCCAGGGTGTCCTTGTCTCCACCCCAGCACCCTGAATGTCCAAATCAGTCCCCTGAACACCCCACCCCTTCAGGAACATGTCGCCCATCCCTGTCCTCACCCCTTGCCCTGTGAGCCCGCTGCCGCCTCTGTGCACAGTGGGACCCCATTGGGCGGGCATCCCGCAGGTGAGGATCTGGCCCACATACCAGACCATGCTGGACAAGGTGCCCGAGGTGCCGGAGGGCTGGCTCATCTTCGTGGCGGACAGGGAGGAGCTCTATGTCCGTGTCCGAAATGGGTTCCGGAAGGTCCCGGTGAGTTCTCTGGAGGGCCTTTCCCTGTACCTCCTGCCCTCACTCGCGGGGGGGGGGTAGGACTTGGAAGAAGATGTAAGGTGGAGAGTGCTGCATGGAGGAGGAAGGCCCCAGGCCCTGGGCAGGGGGCACAGGGACCCAGGCCACTGCTGGCACCCACAGCACGCACACTCCGCCAGGGTCAGGACCCTCAGGACCATCCTGGCGGCGGCCTGCGGGGACAAGAGACAGCCAGCACTTCTCACACTACCTTTTAAATTAGTAGAATTTTTTGAGGAGTTTCAGGTTTACAGAGAAGTAGCCCTCACCCTTCTTAAAGTGCATGGAGGTATTAAATGTATAGTGTGCCAGGTTCTGGGCAGGCCCCGGATGCAGCCATGCTGGCTTCGATGGGGGGAGAGGCCGGGGCTGGGCAAGTGGATTCGGGAGGGTTGCCAGCTGTGGGTGCTGGTCAGTCAGGTCACTGGAGTAACCCTTATGTTTTCTTCCAGCTGGAGGCACGGATACCACTCCCCCGTGGGACGACGGTAAGGAGCGCTGTTCTCTCCCAGCCATCAGTTTAGGGGTGCAAGCCTTCGAGCCTGGAGGATGGATGGCCAGGACGTGTGGGGTGTGCATTGGTGGTCTATGCACTGCCTCACATTTTCGGAACAACATGATGCTTTAGGATCTGAGGGCCACCCCTGCTAGGGAGATGGGGTACTCAGACTATGTAAGAGGGCCTTTCTTCAGTTCACACCTATTGTCTTCCCCAGGCAACTGGGGCAAAATCCACTGTTCATTTGAGTCTCCGTTGTCCCTCATTTAGAATGCGGGACACAGGACAGACCCTTCTAGGGTAGATGGAGGGGGAACGGGAGAAGGAGATGGGTGGATGAACGGGCTGAAATAAGTACCTGAGTTTACGTGCCACAGCTGTAGGCTCCTTTCAAAAATTGTGACTTCTCAAATGGCCCATCCTCTCATTTACTCATTTAGCACATAGTCATGGGTCCCTCCCATACGCTGGGCAATGTTCTAGGCATGAGGTACAGCTGGGCATGAAACAGACGAAACCAGTGCCCGCTGCAGCTGACACTGTATGGGGGAGATAGGCAGTAAAGATAATAGGTTTGTCAAAGCATAATGTATAATTATATAAATCCAAATATTTTATGTAAACCTGTATAAATTAATTATATGAATTCTAAATACTTATTATGAACAGGTACTAAGTATCTAATAATAGGTATATAGATAACAGTAATAAATTATACGGTGTGTCCTAAGGCTTTCCGTGAAGTGGGTGGGGGCACAAGGGTTGGGATTTTAAAGTGGAGGTCAGTTATGTTGTCTCTGTGGTGGGAATGGAGCAAAGGCTTGAGGATCTGAGAACAGGCGCCTTCTGGTGTCATGGCCCAGTGTCTGAGCTACAACAAGGAGGAGGCCTTGAGGTCAGGGGATGTGGTCACCTGAGGGCTCTCCAGGCCACAGCAAGGAGGTGGCTTGAGTGTGCTGGAGCTGAGGGTATGTGAACAGAGGGCCATCAACTTGATTTAGGCATGAACAGGATGGCTGGGCTCCCCGAGCCTGGCTTCCACCCAACACTCTGGGCACCCCAGTTCATCACTCCAGTCTATCCCTCTCCTAACCAAGAGCACAAGCTGGGGTGCAGATGAATGGGGATGTTCTGGGACAGAGCCAGGAACCTGGGCCCAGGCAGGAGAGCAGAGCCTGAGGGGCCCCACAGAGACTCCATGTGGGGCTGATGGGTGTGGGACCCCTTCCCATGTATTGTCCACCCTTCAATCTGCAGGACAATGAAGTAGCCGCCTTGCAGCCCCCGTTGGTGCAGCTGCATGATGGTAACCCACACCCTCGGTGGGAACTGCCCCCCTCCACGGCACGACCCTGGCGGGCAGATGACATCCTGGCCAGGCCTCCACGCCTGCTGGACTCCCAGCCCTACCCTGGAGTCCCACACCACAGCTCTTATGTGCACCCCCGGCCAGCCCGCCCCACTGGTGCTCCTGTCCACACCCACCACGACTTCCAGCCAGTAGTGAGTGACCTTGGGGGGCACATGTCCACCAGCCCGAGCTCCCAGGGTAGGTTCTCCAGGCCTGGGACTGCCCTCTGGTGCCCACCTCCAAGACCAGTCCCTGCTTATGTCCTGGAGAAGCTGGACTGGTGCATATGACGGCACTGGGGACACAGGCCCTGCAGCGCCTCTTTTCACAGAGGTGGCTGTTGAGGCCTGAGGACAGTGACTTGCTTAGGAGGTAGATAAAGGAGGGTGGCCGTTACAAGCCGATCACAGCCCGTGCCCAGGCTGAGTGTTGCTTTCTGGGCCCCTAGCACACCAAACATCTGTGCTCCCCTGGGCTGAGGGGCCCCAGGCTGGTTCTCTAGGGCCCTAGTGGGTGCACTCCTCTCTCCCGGGCCCTGCCTGTGCTCACACTCACCCCTACTGTCTGTGCAGGGCTGGGGCAGAAAGGAGGGCAGGCAGGGGAGGGGGTGCCTGGGACTGATGCCACTGGAGGCTAACTGCAGCTGACCATGGCTCTCCTGCAGCTGCACCTGGTTGCACTCAACGGGCCGCAACCTGGTGGCCTGCGTGGCATCCGTGGCGCAGACCTCCAGTGCTTTCAGCAGGCACGTGCGGCAGGCCTGGCCGGCACCTTCCGTGCCTTCCTGTCGTCCCGCCTACAGGACCTCTACAGTATCGTGCGTCGTGCTGACCGCACCCTCGTGCCCATCGTCAACCTCAGGGTGGGTGCCCTGCCCTGTGCATGGGGCTCCCAGAGCTGGGGTGAGGGGCCTGGCAGTCGGGTGCACTGGGCTGGGCATACCCCTGAGAACCCAGCAAAGCCCCTGCCCACAGTGCCCTTCACGTGGCTTTATTCTGTGGCTCTTCACCACCATTGTGTGTTTTCCTGATGCTCCAGAGCACCATTTCAGAGCCATGGGGGGTGGACTCACCCAGACCTGGGGTCCAGGCTGGGGAAGGTGCCTGGACTGCTAAGGCCCCCGGCCGATGGTCCTGTCAGGCGGTGACCAGAGATGGGTAAACTGGCCCGACTTCCCTCTGCAGGACGAGGAGCTGTTTCCCAGCTGGGAGGCCTTGTTCTCAGGCTCCCAAGGCCAGCTAAAGCCTGGGGCCCGCATCTTCTCCTTCGACGGCAGAGACGTGCTGCAGCACCCTGCCTGGTAGGTGCAACACTGGGGGCGGGGGATTGCTGATTCTCAGAGAACCCAGGCCTAGTGCACCTCCCTGTCTCTGCACCTCCCTGTCTCTAGTCTGACCCTCTGCCTAATACTTGCTCACTGTTTAAAACTCACAAGATCAAGAAGAACATTAATGATACAAAGCATTCTTTGTGTGTTGCACGAAACACCCTCACTAGTCTGCTCCCCGGGGGGGCACCCCACTGCTGCTGTCCAGGAGACTGGCCCATGGTGGATCCCTCAGGGGCCTCCCAGGATTACCCAGCTCTCACTGTCACATAGACATCACAGCGAGTGATTTCTCCCGTAAATTCCCCAAAGTGGAATTCCCAGTTGGAGGATGTGCGCACCTCAAATACTGGTGAAAGTTGTCAGATTGCCCTCACACCCATTGTCCTGCCAGCGTGGTGTTGGGGCACCTGTTCCCCCAGCTCATGCTCTTAAAAGGTGGCTCATTTATCAGACAGTATGTACCCCACCCTCACTGAGAAGCACCCAGACCCAAGGGACCAGTCATCAGGGTCGCAGAGTCTGCTCTGTATGCTGTGCCCCCCAAAACAGTGGCAGCATGGGGTGCTGTCCAAGGGTAGCATCCCCAGTGACTAGGGATGGCCTGAGTCCCTGCCACTTCCACATCCAGCCACAGCCTCCACCCTTTTCTGCCTGGGGGGGGGCCTCCATCCAAGAGGGGCAGGCCCAGGTGTGACTGACAGCCCATGTGTCCTGCAGGCCACAGAAGAGTGTGTGGCACGGCTCAGACCCCAGCGGACGGCGGCTGACTGAGAGCTACTGTGAGACATGGCGGACTGAGGCCGTGACAGCCACGGGCCAGGCCTCCTCGTTGCTGGCAGGCAGGCTGTTGGAGCAGAAAGCTGCGAGCTGCCACAATGCTTTCATCGTCCTCTGCATTGAGAACAGCTTCATGACCTCCTCCAAGTAGGACCTTTGCCAGCTCGCACGAAGTGTGGACAGATGGCCAGAGAGGAGACCAAGCGGCAGGGGGAGTGGAGAAGCCCCCAGTGCCGGGTAGGGAGCAGCAGCCAGCACCTCAGACAGGGCTGGGACACTTTTCTGTGTGGTTCACATTTCATGTAATCCTCCAGAAATAAAGAAAGCCAAAGAGTGTATTTTTTAAAAAGTTTAAAACAGAAGGCCTGGTGCCAAGTCTTTCTCCTGACCCGCCCCCTCCCAAGCCCTAGCTGGCCTGGCCTGGCCTGGCCATGCAGGACACAATCCTCAAATCAAACCAGGGAGCACACCTGGCTCTGTTCTCGTCGCCTCTAGCACTCACTGCCCTGGGAAGGTGTGTGCACCCCAGGCCCCTAGGCCCCCAGTGGGTTCCTTAATCACCCCAGGCAGGTGCTATTTTCTGCCTGGAACTCCTTGTGCACAAAACCCAGACCTGCTTGCAGACCAGCCACTCCCTCTACCCTTCTGTACCTGGCCCAGGGGTACAGAAGGGCCCTCCCTCCACAGGCGGCCAGCAGTCAGGACTACTTGGGCCTTGGGTGCAAGGGGGCCCACCTCTCCTTGGCCTCTTGCAGCAATACCCCCCTTCCACTGGAGCAGTTTCCAAGCTCAGTGCCCCCCTGCTGACTCTGGCTCCTGTGGGGGTTGAGGGGCAATGCCCCACTCCATGCTGTATGTGCTGGTGGCCTTTTTCCCTGGAGCCAGCTCTGCCCCTTGGTGTCTCTGTCCCATGCTGGCTTCCCAAGTGACCTGTGAGGTCAAAAACAGTACAGAGCTTGACCCAGCGACAGCTGTGCTGTGTGTTTTGAGGGGTCCACAAACCAGGGCATGGTAGCATCCTGTTCCCAGCCCCAACCCCACATCCAGCACCCCTTTCCAGAGTGAGAATTCCCAGTGCCCATGCAGGCCCAGCTCTGCCTGGAAGCGTCTGCTAAGGACCCCTCAGGTCCCGGCTGGACTGCCTCCTGCTGAGCCTGTGGGAGGCCATGCAGAGGAGTTGCAGCTGGGGCAGGACAGGACTGGATCATGTCCACAAACAAGCTCCGCGTGTAGGCAGTGAATGAGGCTGTGTGTTTTATCTGGTCACCACTGTCCATAACACATAAAGTCCCCGTCATTGTCCTTGTGGGGGAACTTCAGGGGCCATTTTGGGGTGCATGTGGGTCACTCTGGGGGAGCTGGTGGGTGTCCCTGCTGGTGGCCATGCTGGGAGGGGTGGCAGGCCAGAGCCCAACCCCCTCAAGGTCTGCTGTCCACTCACTGCAGCCATAAACCAAAGGAGCTGGTCTTGGTGACTGTGAGATGTGGTTCCAAACAGGCTCCAAGTAAGAACCATGTTCATGGACACTGGTTTGAAGGTGGCCTTCACTGTCCCAAGACCAGTTCTCAGGGGCCTAAGTCTCCCAAACTCAGCACGCAGACCCCGAGGGAGCCCGGGGGTGCAGTATGCGGGTACATACATGGGTATGGGTATGCGTGGACATTCCCGGGTGTACACAGATGTATCGGGTGAGCGGATGACCTTTCTCCTCTTAGGTCTCCCTGGAGCAGCCTTCCCAGGTCTGTGTAGGGGGTCTGCCGTGGGCTCCCACACCCAGCACCACCATGCTCTCCCCACAGGTGCTGCAGCCAGCCAGGCTCCGGGAGGTGTCTGACCCCGAGAGGCTATGTACACTGCACTGAGCAGGGCCTCACTTGTGCCCTGGGAACAAATGACACCCCTGCCCTGATGACCAAGGGGCTTGGGAGCAGCAGAGAAAGGCGATTCTGGGAGCCTGGAGGCAGGGTCTGAGCAGCAGGCCACGCAGTGCATATGGAGAGGCTGCAGGGGGAGCAGTTGGGCCAGCTGCTGACATTGGTCTGGCTGGGGTGGGGCATCCCAATGGAAGGGCACAGAGCCCTGAATCATGGGGTCAGTGACCGGAGGCACAGAAGTGAGATCCCACCCCCACCCCCAACCAATCCATGAAGTCTCACTCGATATCCAAGCATAAAGGAGAAATGGTGCTGGGCCCTGGGCTCAGTGCTGCCCCTTCCCACANCATAAAGGAGAAATGGTGCTGGGCCCTGGGCTCAGTGCTGCCCCTTCCCAGCAGGGTCAGAGGGGCAGTGGTGGCCTGTGTGGACACACCGGGGGACCAATCCACCTGTCTGACCAGACCCACACCGTAGGCTGTGACTTGGGCCAGCCTGTGCACACCCTCCTCCTTGACTCTCATGGCACCCAGAGATGCCCCGCTCAGTCAGCACCAGTAGCCTCTCCTCAGCCAAGTGTGTTCCTGACGCTCCTTGCCAAGCTGGCCCCAAGCAGTGGCCTTTCCTCCGAACCCCATCAGTTAGGGTGCTGCTCAGCTGCCCCACCCGCATGAGGGCAAAAGGTCATGGGAGGAGCAGCACCAAGGACACTGTGGGCCCTAGTTGGGTCCCTTCCTGTGCCTGAGGGCAGGGGCTGGGCCCCTTCCTTGGCCTCCCAATTGACCCCAGCGCCACCCATCCCCAGGCTGGCTTGGAATGAGGAGCCCCTCACACTCAGGTTTAATGTTTCAGGTCTCACATCTTAACATGACTGGCTCCTGGAGCCCCAGGCGGCCTGTCCTCGCTGGTGTGTGAGCAGCCCAGGTGGCCCCCATTAGGGTGAGGCAGGCCGGTGTTAACCCACTTTAGGAAGCGGGAGGACCAGCGAGGGCCGGGAGCAAAGGAGGCAGCACCCAAAGACCCCAGCGCCCCTCTTCCACCCAACAGGGAAACGCCTGCCTGCCCCATGACCAGCTTCTCCCACAGAAACGGAGGCCCAATAAGGCTTTTCCTTTATGTGAGTAAAAAAAAGGGGGGCAATACAGCATTGTTTAAAATGTGAGCAATGGAATTCAAACAATGCCAGAAACCCTGATTCCTGGTTCCAAAAAGACCAGCAACCTGACAGGGAAGGGGCAGTTCTGAGATGTCAAGGCCCCAGGGCCAGTGAGGATGTTGAGGATGCAGAGCAGATTGCCTCTGGTGTCAGAATCTGGCCACTCACTGGGCTGGGCAGAGAGCAGATCAGGCCCTGGGCTCAGGCTGCTCTGTCAAGACTGGCCCTGCGGCTAACGTGCCGTCCTTGGGGGCCAAGGTGGTGGCTATGGGCTGCAGGTTGCTGAGGGTTCCATCCTGCAGGCTCAGCACCTGGGCGGCTTTCTCCTCCGGGAGGCTCGTTAGCTCCTGGGCCAGGGGCAGGGGCTGGTGGTGGCCACACTGGAAGTGCCACAGGCTCCCCAGCACAGCTCCCAAGAAGTAGGCAATGGACAGCACCAGCAAGTACACAAAGTAGACTAGGAACTGGAACAGAGAGAGGTCAGGTGGGGGTGGGGGGTGA